TGAAATTTAATGTGGATAAATGTAAAGTAATGCAATTGAAAAAAATAACCTCAACTATACATACAATATGATGGGGGCTAATTTAGCTACAAGTCAGCAAAAAGATCTTGGAATCATCGTGGATAGTTCTCTGAAAATGTCCACGCAGTGTGCAGAGGCAGTCAAAAAAGCAAACAGGATGTTAGGAATCATTAAAAAGGGGATAGAGAATAAGACTGAGAATATATTATTGCCCTTATATAAATCGATGGTATGCCCTCATCTCGAATACTGCGTACAGATGTGGTCTCCTCATCTCAAAAAAGATATACTGGCACTAGAAAAGGGCAACTAAAATGATTAAGGGTTTGGAATGGGTCCCGTATGAGGAGAGATTAAAGAGGCTAGGAAAAGAGGAGACTAAGGGGGGATATGATAGAAGTATATAAAATCATGAGTGATGTGGAGAAAGTGGATAAGGAAAAGTTATTTACTTATTCCCATAATACAAGAACTAGGGGGTCATCAAATGAAATTAATAGGCAACAGGTTTAAAACAAATAAAAGGAAGTTCTTCTTCACACAGCGCACAGTCAACTTGTGCAACTCCTTACCTGAGGAGGTTGTGAAGGCTAGGACTATAACAGAGTTTAAAAGAGAACGGGATAAATTCATGGTGGTTAAGTCCATTAATGGCTATTAGCCAGGACGGGTAAGGAATGGTGGCCCTAGCCTCTGTCTGTCAGAGGGTGAAGATGGGTGGCAGGAGAGAGATCACTTGATCGTTGCCTGTTAGGTTCACTCCCTCTGGGGCACCTGGCATTGGCCACTGTTGGTAGACAGGATACTGGACTAGATGGACCTTTGGTCTGACCCGGCACGGCCTTTCTTACATACAACCTTTACAACCAGTGCAGTTGTAGTGACATTGCATGGTCACATTAGGGCCTCTGCCTAAAATCCCATCAGAAAGACTGTTCATGTCTTCACTTCGTAACGGGTGAAGCAGTGAGTGGAAAGCCTCCTGGCCCCCACTGTCACTTTCTAGCAGAGCCCCACTAGCAGGCACCTATGCATCGTTCCTAATTGACACTAGAGGGTCAGTGTCTGGTCACTGAACAGTATTATAAGGAGTCAGGCAAGTAGGTAGGTGTTGGTTTTGGCAAAGTACTCATTCATGCTGCTTCAGGGTACATAAGCAACACTTGCTCTCTCCAAAAATGAGGATCTGTAGAAGCAGTTTCATGTAAGCAAGACTAGATCACTTACCTGTCACGAGCCTGCTGCTGCAATAACTTGGCACTTCCCTTCTGGCACCCCTGCTCCTTGGGATTTGATTCCAGGTTGAAGGGTAGGGGGTATGCACCTCCTCTGATGTGTGTGGAGCCAACTTGTGCTCAGTTATAGAGATGCAACTTGGGGGAAATTCCATGGAAGCCAGTGAAATCTGGCTTGACCCATGTAACTTAATTTCTGTGGTCTCTGCTATTCAGCATATGCACTGATCTATAAAAGCTGAAAGCTTTTTTGCAGCACTAAATACTAAATTTGTGTCTGAGTTTCTGAATGCAAGTGCTGACAAGTGTAGTTAAGTGGCAAAAATAGCCTTGCTCTAATTAAGAAGAGAAATAACTTGCAGATGTGCTAGTTGCTTGCAGATGTCTTCCAGTTATAGCTCAACTTGAATTTGGTAAATCATCTATTTGACATTTAAAACAAGGGTAATGAAATCTGTCTTTACATGTAGGCAGTACAGTGTGGGGTTTGAACTTGTCACAGTCTCTACAGTAGGAGATCCTGGTCCCTCTGGTTTTCAGAAGAAGAGCAGTGGTGACTACAGGTAATGCTTATTTGCTTATATATACACACTTTTCCTTTCTCCCTTAAATACATCTTATTAAGCTGGCATTGTATTTTTTTCATCAGATGTGGATTTTGCTACATGGAGGTGGAGAATGTACCAGCTGGAGTTTACAATATTATTCCCAGCACCTTCCTGCCTCAGCAAGAGGGTCCTTTCTTCTTGGACTTTAATAGCACTACCCCTCTTAAGACATCACAACTGCAATGAGGGGGCACGTCTCTACATTACTTTCTAGGGAAGAAGTCAAGAGCTAGAGCAATACCATCTCCTGAAAACACTGGGGAAATATATCCCTCAACCATTGACACAAGATGCATAAAACTACCTGGAAAAAGTAATAGCCCAGGGCTTGGGCCACCAATCTCACTGCATGAGCCACTTCAGAGTTTGCTCATGCTTTTTGCTGTGCAGCCATTAGGGTGAGAGAACGCTTCAGAAATTCTGATTGATGGTAAATTTTTGCGTGAAATGCTTGAATGTAAATCTTATTAATCATGTTAACAAATGGCAGGCATTAGCTTACTGCAGTTTGGCACCTTATACCTCATCAAGTTTTGAAGTCTTTCCTCTCCCCCCATAGAGGGTAGCTTAGTTCTAACAATCCTTGCTTAACTTTTACAGTAAACATTGTAGAGAAAAAGGAGGGGGTTGTGTGTACTGTTTATTTAGAACAGGGGTTCTCAAACTGGGTCTTGGGACCTCTCAGGGGGTCATAAGGTTATTACCTGGCAGGTTGCAAGCTGTCAGCCTCTACCCCAAACCCCACTTTAGAATCAGGGCCGGCTCCAGGCACCAGGCACCGAAGCACATGCTTGGGGTGGCACATGGTAAGGGGCGGTGGGGGGAGCGCGGCGCAGCATTCCGCGGGGGGGCAGGCTCTGGTGGCAGGGGCCGGGCGGCGCTGGGAGGGGTTCCAGCGGCGCGGCACGGCACTCAGCAGCGCGGGCGCGGCGCTCTGTGGGGGGTGGGGGCGGTGGGGGCGGCGGCACTGGGAAGGGGGGTGCCGGCGGCGCTCAGCAGGGGGGCGGCGCGGCGCTTTTTTTTTTTTTTTT